AATATTTTTTGTAGAAAAGGTTAAATGAACAATGTATGACAGCACGTATCCGTTATATGACGTTATTTAGGTGACTACTAAAATCACGATATACGATATATTTAGATGTATAGATTATTTTCAGTGACATTTTCTGGTCTGATTTAAAAAAGATGGTGCTTCAATCCTTTTTTTAATGTGTTGTCTTACGTCGACTAGTAGCAATTTATTTTTTGAAGTTGTGACACTGATTTATATATATATATATATATATATATATATATATATATATATATATATATATATATATATATATATATATATATATATATATATATATATATATATAATAAATCCACACACGTATTGTTATAATAAAAATTCACAACACCGAAATAAACTCAACCGGTTTCATTTCCAATCTTCAGGAGTTTGACAATACAATGCTTAGTTACACAAAATCAACATTCATATTGTGACGTCATAAAGCGCCAATACTTAGTCGCGCTTTAGCAAAGTTCATTATGACGTCATAATAATACGTAAGTAAGTTATTACGGGAAATTAGATTTTTTATACAAATAGCACAGTTATATTATGCGGGTAAAAGTATATTTCTTAAATGAAATATAATTATGCTGCATTTAAAACAGGTTTATGTCTGTTTATAAAATGTTTTTCTTTAGTTTCACGTTCTTTTTCTGTAGTATCCCTTCGGAATTTATAGAAAGGAAAAACAGTAAAATTGGGGGTTTTATTTTTGGCACAGTTTCTGATGTGTTCGCTTACGGCGGTACACTGGTATCTTGGTTCCCTAATTTGTTGTCGGTGTACGGTCATTCTGTGTCTCAGGGTGTCTCCTGTCTGGCCGATATAATTTTCACCATAACCGGCGCAGGTTATTACATAAATAAGATTCGAGCTGGTGCATGACATTGATGTTTTAATGGTAAATTCGCTTCCAGTTTTAAATTGAAATTTGGATCCCTCTGTCAGGTATGGGCAAGTACTGCATCTGGGCTTGTTGCATCTATTGATGATTGCTGGTTCATTGTTGTTAGTAGAAAAGGATGCTTTTGTAAGGATGGATTTGAGAGACGGACTTTGTCGTTTACTCTTAATGATCTGTGAAGTTTCTAATATTTTCTTCATGTCTGGATCGTCCTCTAAAATGGGCAGATTGTTCCTAATAATGCTGAAAATTTCCGGAGTTCTTGGGTTATGTGTTGACACGTATGGTATGACATTTTTTGCCTGTTTATTTTTCACTGTAAGTAGATCTTTTCTTTCTTGAGATTTGGCTTTGTTTATTCCGTTTTCAATCAACTGTTTAGGATAGTGCCTTTGAAGGAGTAGTTCTTGTACTCCAAACCCAAACAGGCAAAAAATGTCATACCATACGTGTCAACACATAACCCAAGAAATCCGGAAATTTTCAGCATTATTAGGAACAATCTGCCCATTTTAGAGGAAGATCCAGACATGAAGAAAATATTAGAAACTTCACAGATCATAAAGAGTAAACGACAAAGTCTGTCTCTCAAATCCATCCTTACAAAAGCATCCTTTTCTACTAACAACAATGAACCAGCAATCATCAATAGATGCAACAAGCCCAGATGCAGTACTTGCCCATACCTGACAGAGGGATCCAAATTTCAATTTAAAACTGGAAGCGAATTTACCATTAAAACATCAATGTCATGCACCAGCTCGAATCTTATTTATGTAATAACCTGCGCCGGTTATGGTGAAAATTATATTGGCCAGACAGGAGACACCCTGAGACACTGAATGACCGTACACCGACAACAAATTAGGGAACCAAGATACCAGTGTACCGCCGTAAGCGAACACATCAGAAACTGTGCCAAAAATAAAACCCCCAATTTTACTGTTTTTCCTTTCTATAAATTCCGAAGGGATACTACAGAAAAAAAACGTGAAACTAAAGAAAAACATTTTATAAACAGACATAAACCTGTTTTAAATGCAGCATAATTATATTTCATTTAAGAAATATACTTTTACCCGCATAATATAACTGTGCTATTTGTATAAAAAATCTAATTTCCCGTAATAACTTACTTACGTATTATCATGACGTCATAATGAACTTTGCTAAAGCGCGACTAAGTATTGGCGCTTTATGACGTCACAATATGAATGTTGATTTTGTGTAACTAAGCATTGTATTGTCAAACTCCTGAAGATTGGAAATGAAACCGGTTGAGTTTATTTCGGTGTTGTGATTTTTTATATATATATATATATATATATATATATATATATATATATATATATATATATATATATATATATATATATATATATATATATACTTAAAATAAAAAAGAAAAACACGAAAAACTCCAGTAAAGCTTTACTGGAGTTTTTCGTGTTTTTCTTTTTTATTTTAAGTATATATATATATATATATATATATATATATATATATATATATAGAAAGCACAGAGAAATATACTTTTACAAGGATACTCACTTCCGCCCCAGCCCGGGGTTGAACTCTCGACCTACGGAATCTGTCCTGTCTCCTAGCAGTGCATGAACAGCGCATTAGACCGCTCGGCTATCTAGGCAAGTTAACAACTTGCTTTCGATGCCGATGGAATTCTCACAACGCTGCCCTTCACTACACGGTCATTGAGAATGGAAGTGAGATACAGTTATTTGGACATTAGTTTTCAAAGGATCGTTACCAATACATGTTGTGATGAAATTAATTTTATTTATAAAGCACAGATTACTACGAAAGCCTATTAGGATCAATCTAAAGAGAAAAAATTTTTTAAAATGCGTTATAACGCCTTTTCAAAAGGCGTAATAACGCGAAAAAAGGCGTTATAACGCCTTTTCAAAAGGCGTTATTACGCCTTTCTATTCCAAAAAGGCGTTATAACGCCTTTTTAAAAGGCGTTATTACGCCTTTCCATTCAAAAGGCGTTATTACGCCTTTCCAAAAGGCGTTATTACGCCTTTCTAAAAGGCGTTATAACGCCTTTCTAAAAGGCGTTTTTACGCCTTTCCAAAAGGCGTTATTACGCCTTTCCATTCAAAAGGCGTTATTACGCCTTTCCAAAAGGCTTTATTACGCCTTTCTAAAAGGCGTTATAACGCCTTTCGTAAAGGCATTATTACGCCTTCTAAAAGGCGTTATTACGCCTTTCCAAAAGTCGTTATTACGCCTTTCTAAAAGGCGTTATTACGCCTTTCCAAAAGGGTTATTACGATTTTTGAATAACCTTTTATTTACATTTAACAGACCCGTGCTTTTAATAGCCCCCACCCCACCCCACTCTTCTGGCGAAAGTCGTGGGGGGTCGGGGCTTCTCGGTAAAACTTAAATATTTCAATGCAAGAATATGCCACAGTTTTACATACTGCAACAAAATGTTCAGAAACCAAGCAACCAATAGTTGATTATAATATTAAAACTGCAAGACTTTTCCCCAAAAAGTGTGTATGTGTGGAGGTGGGTACCCCATTTGCACTCGTACTACTGGCCTACTTGAAAAAAAACGAACGGAAAGGCTTTATTTAACGCCTTTTTGGAATAGAAAGGCGTAATAACGCCTTTTGAAAAGGCGTTATAACGCCTTTTTTCGCGTTATTACGCCTTTTGAAAAGGCGTTATAACGCCTTTTAAATTTTTTTTTCTCTTTAGATTGATCCTAATAGGCTTTCGTAGATTACAACAACTCTCAAACTAATATAACTGCCCTAAGTGAAGGAATATTAATATAGAAAGCACAGAGAAATTCACTTTTACAAGGATACTCACTATCAGACAGAGATAATTGTTAAAAGCAGCTGATGTGAAAGAAGTTACCATAATTAAATCTATATCTGAACTCTCGCTTTATTTACGGTTTATTTAACGTTCTTTCAAATAATTTAATTTAATAGATAAGGCAAAATATAGACATACCATAATTGAACGCGCTTAACGGTGATGTCAGTAATGTAAAAAAAAAAAAAACAGGGGACAATCTGGGTAACGGCATAATGTTTTAAAATTAGTAATTAACACTTTATAAATTGACCAATTACCCCTGCAATCTCAATCTTGAGAGCTATAACATGTATACATGTAATTACCTTCAAAATTTCTTAATTATAGGATGTGTAAAAACACTAAAAAAAATCTATGCAAAGGTTTCCTTTCTTTCAACAAGAAGGAATTTTAAGGAAACTACGTTTAAATTTACATGAATTTTATTTTTTTTCCGACCAACCGATTGGCGATTTTCTAACCGAGTAATCGATTAACCGGTTAAGAATTGACATCCCTAGTATATATATATATATATATATATATATATATATATATATATATATATATATATATATATATATATATATATATATATATATAAAAAATCCAATAAATAGTCTCAGTGGTCGGAATTAAATACTTAAAATAAAAAAGAAAAACACGAAAAACTCCAGTAAAGCTTTATATATATATATATATGTATATATATATATACGGTCTCATCCGAAGGACCGTACCTACAATTTCTGAATTATGATTATCCCTGCATTCATTCATCTAAAATATTGCTTTCATGTTGAGGGGTTTTAATGTTAATTTCTTTTTTTAAGCGATTTTGAAATAGCTGCAATATAAAATTGACTAAAAAATTAAACTCGACACTTTTTTAACTTAAATTCTCAAAGTTGAAAGTTCAATTGGTTTGTGTTTTTTTAAGTTAACAAAGACGAACTTAACTATTTATGCATTCGATGTAAGAAATCAATATTCATTTGCATTTTTTGCTTTCATCTTTCTCATTTATTCGCCGTATTTCCTTTTTTTATTTCCTGAATACCAATTTGAATTATCATCATTTTTATGTTCAATAGACACTTCACTGCGAATGTTCAAACCAAAGTTTTTTTTTCAAAGTGGAAGCAAATAAGTTTCATAAGGAACATCCAAATACCTTATTTTTTACTCTTCGAGGTAAACACATGTACATAATTGAAATTACAATTACCTGTCTTGATTCATCTTTGGCCTCATTACTTCCCTCTCCGATGTCATGAATCTAAATGTAAAATGCAATATTTATCCTCCATATACAATATAAAGAAATAAAAGATTTGTTAAATCTTTGAGATAAAGTGTACCGGTATATATTTGTTTAAAAAAACGTAAAAATGAATTTGCGAGGATTATAATCCTTCTCTTCTCTCATTAAAAATATTCCTTTCTCGTAGATAGTCTTTCAGAAGAAAAATATTTTTGTCCCTTAATGAAACAGAATATATTTTTTTGTTAGTTTGTTAAAGTTTTTGTTGTTTAACGTGGTACTGGGGAATATTTGATCACATGGAGACGCTACTATTTGCCTGTGGTTGCAATTTTTGTCATATACTAGTAGTAAGCACCCAGGGCCAGTGAGCAGTGAGGGATCACCTACTGGGACAATGGATCTTGGTTATAAATATGGTCTCATTCGAAAGACCGGTCTCCACGTATCACAGTGGGATTCGAACCAATGACGTAAGCATAAACGCCTTACTCCACTCCATGTCTATAGAGTAGTCGCTCTGAGCCACACGGGCAAAGGAATTAATTAGTAGTAAATACATATTATATTGGAAAAATATGACCCAAATAAAAATAACTCTATCAAAAATAAATGAGACCAAAATTTAAAAGATTTCTTATAAAGGATCTAGATGAATATTATAAATAAATTAAAAATTCAATTATTTTTTAATGATATTTTATCATATTCTGAATAAATGTCAGTGGTTTTTAGCTAAATCACATCTAAATGTTGTTACAATTACCTCGTCAGCTGGATCTCTTGACTCCCATGCAGCTGAATCCTAGAAATAAAATCAAAGATTTTTTTTACAATTGATATTTTTTAAATATAATTTTCAAAATGAATCTCTGAACTGTATACTTTAATTATATTTATTACATGTAATTAAATTACCTCTCCAAATATATCCCATTCAAACATTTTTGCACGAAAGGCTTCAAGTCTCTAAAAATAAAACAAAAGATGTCCAGAATGTGCAAAAAAGCAATATGTTAAATGTTTGATAAAATTTATTTATATCTGTAAATAAAAAAGTTCTTATTAATGTCTGAAGGATAATTATCAATCTCTCTTTCAAAATAATTAAGACGAAACTTAATGTTTAAGAGGTCTGAGATTTCTCAACTCCTGATTTGTATTCTTAAAAGAGACTTTTGATCTCTAATACTGTTAGTTATTTCCATTGTTTTATTAACGTTTAGTTGTGAAAGAAAAAATAAAGTGAACATAATACAAACTTATCAAATATATCTGCATAACATAGATTGATTAGAACTCCTGGATTTCTGTTCAAAACAACAATTAAGCCCTAAAAGTTGCCTTTAATGATACATGTACGTCACTTTTAGTAACATTTACTTGAACTAAATATGAACTTGAAGAAAAGAAACATCTCAGAAATGAGAGAATAAGATTCGTTTCCTGGAAAGAAAAAACTACAGGTACCCTGTGAAAGAAAATGTTTTATTGCTTTCAAAATTTAAGGTATTATTAATATACATTGACGTTTATCTTTTTTCTTATTTAAGATACACTTATTCGTAAATATCTTCTAAATACAATTTTAAAGATAACGAATAAGTTTGAGATTCTTTTTAAAATATATTTAGTAAATATAGTTTCATTTCTTACCTGCTAAAGTCACTACTTTGAAATAAAATGAAACTAGTCTTTTTTTGGAACAAGGATTTTTTTTAGTTATTTTTGGAAATATGTTTGGTTGATTTAGACGTGTAGAAAAATCTATTGACCAATGTATCATTTTAAGTTGTATGTGTATCCATGTTTCAAGCTGAAATTTGATGTTACATTATTTATATAATCTTATGTTTGGTTTGATATAGCTTATGATCTGAAAGCATTCGCCAGTCTTTTGTTCCCGAAATGATTAGCTATTTTTAGGTGGAAAATTCCATGTTTTTAAAAAGAACCAAGTAATCCTTAAAAACTTCTGCCTTAATTATGTTTTTATATTATTTCAAGCTCCATTTTTGCAATACTTGCTCAATAAAAGTAGGAAAAAAGTATTTTCCTTTTTCTTTTTCTTAGTTTGAAAACAGAGAAGCTATTATTTTAAAATAGAGTGGAATCAATAAATGTTTTATTTTAGATCGTGGATTTTTTTCAGCTATTTTTGGAATTTAAAAAAAGATTTCTGGGACCTTCTAGGAAGAATCTACAGGTAATCTAACGTTTCTTTTTTCAGCTTATATTTTTTTCATTAACCTTTCATGAAAAAAAGAAATTTTGCTATTTTATGTCTAAAATAAAAGTTCATATACTAGTATTAAGCCATGCATGTAAGGATGTTTATATGTACAATTCCGTTTTTGACTCTTATGTGAATTTATTGTGAGGAAAAGTGCAATATAAGAACAGAAAAAAAAAATAATTTAATTAAAGGATACGATTTTGGTCACTGCAGTATGCACACTGCTCAACGCGTTATCGGCTACTCGGTTGTTAGCGGACACTCGGTGCAAGAAGAGCAATGTTCAGAAATTGTATGTAATTCTAAATTTCATATTTCAACGATAAATATGTATTTCAGCAAACAAAATTTGTGATCTATGACAGATAATTGATTATAATTTCAGCAGCAGAAAGCACAAACCAAATTACTCTCTTTCAAAAGATCTACAGCTCTTTCAAATGATATTTTACAAAAAATTCGGAATATGTCATCACATTTTTACTTCTGTAGAATTAAAAAATACTTTATTCTATCAAAGAAACTTGTCTATTTATTATATGGACAATCAGATACCTTTAGATCAGCAAACTGAGATGATTAAAATCGTTTAAAATGTCTCGTTAGTTGAAAACATGTTATCGGCAACACGGTTGATGTTGCCGGATACTTCGGTTTTTGACGGGTGTATGTTATCGGAAACCCAGGTTAAAAAGTTTCCTTTAGCTTCATAAATGGATTGGAAAAGGTCCATTATAATCTGCCAGTCCTTGAAAATAGCAAAAGTAAAAGTTTGTTTTGATATGAATGTATATAGATAAAATTTATAATAGAACTACTCACCTGTTCAATCATTTTTCTCGTTTTCAATTCAAGATAACCTCTTGGTAACCGCTTCAGGCGGTTTCAGACGTAAATATAATATGTTTAATTAATCATAAAAAATTTGCTTTAGACTTCCCATATACCGGATACGTGAATTTAAAAAAAATGTTCAATAACCCTATGATCCCCGGGGAACTAATTTTTTTGTCCAGTAATGTCAATTTATTATCACGTCACAGTTACACATAAAGCAGGTGTGGCCCGTATATGAAACAAGTGACTGTGACGTCAGGACTTATGTTGCTCCGCAGAAGAACCTTAACATATTTTTAGAAGGTTAAAATAGAATCACCCAGTTTATACCAGGTAGGACTTTTGAAATACTTGATAATGTGATTTTACGTCAATCAGACAGCTGTCAACATTAAAGAATAATAATTCTTAATTCTTTCTTATACAATGTAATTTGGATATGTAGTAGATTAAAGAGACTATCCTTTAACAAAAAAGCATGGTCCAAAAAAAATATTAAAAAAAAATAATAATACATAAAACTAAGGGATCCGACTGGAATTTTATTGTGTTAGAAATACTTGAATTTAAAAAGATATATAACTCAATTTCCAAACGCAAAAAATACCTACTAGTATGAGGAAGGGGTGTTGATTGATTCACTTCAGTTCATCGTATGTTTAACCTTTTCTACAAACAGTTTTTTGCGTTTTCAATTACAATGGGGGGGGGGGGGTGCCAGAGATTTTTTGCTTTAGCAAACATCCAAAAGCAGTGCAAAATCTATGTCAGCCACACACACCCTGCATCCGAGCATTTAGCTCTATCTACACATTGAATTTGAGCACACTGCGTGATACGACCGTTCATCAGAAGGGTTCTTATTCCTTCTTGGTACGTTAAACAACCTCCGGTGATTTAGAGATCCGTGTTTATGTTTTTGGAATCTTTTAAAGTCAATCTCTTTTACCATACAATTTTGAATTCTATGTCATATATTTTGGTCTAACCACCTATTTAGAAATTCATCTAACCACCCTTAAGTTTAAATTCTTTAATTGCTTTACATGTATATACCAAACTTATAAATGTATTCGTGTTCTAAAGGTTGTGAATTTGATTCTTGGCGGCGACTGACCTTTTTCGATAAAAATGGGTAGCATCAGTTCCTTCGCCATGCGCTCAGCACGTTGATTGTATGTTGTTTAACGCCCTCTTAAGAATGTTCCAGTCATATGGAGACGCCATCACTTGCCGGCGGAGAGCTTCAAAATTTGTTATATACTCAGCACCTAGGGCTATTGATCAGTGCGGGGTGTTTTTGTGCCAGCACCCACTGTGGAATATGAACCCGCGACGTAAGGATCGACTCCCGCCTTACTTGGCGGCTCTAGAGCAGGCACTTAAACCACTGCGCCACGCGGGCGACCTCGGTACCTTGAAATATAATTTAAAACTTACAATTGTATACCATATTTTCGAAGAGGTCAAAATCATGAAGAATTCAGTGAGAAATGCCAAAAATGCACTCATTTTTTAAAAGGATAATAATAAAATAATTTGGAGGCAAATTATAGCCAAAAATTAGAAATTCGTGCCAGTCACTTTAAATATTTAGGTTTCATACGGATATCTGTCGTTTCTTTGTGTTTTCCCTAATCTATGACAACCTTTGTTTCCGATAACCAAAACCGAGTTATCCGATAACAAAGTGCATTATTCAACCGCATTTCCGATAACATACTGAAAGTTAAAATTGGACAATTTTTGCTCTTTAATTACATATTCGCAAGATTCTGTGGAAGTCTTCTTGTGGACAACCATCAATGCAAGGTAACTATAAGGATTTTGAAGAAAAAAGCTATTTACAACAATGCCAATCGGAGAAAAACTTGCAAAATAAAACAAATTTTACTTTTATAGTCTTCTAAAGGCTATAACAAATGCTATACTAATGCGTATCGAGGCTTTATTTTGTATCCGTACTCATTTCTGTTTACAAAAAGCACAATGAATATTCCCTGTTTCTATTTTAGCAGAGTTTATTTAAAATAAATTACTAACCTGTCAAAAATTGTTATCAACCGAGTGTCCGATAACAACCGAGTAGCCGATAACGCGTTGAGCAGTGTGGTATGATGGCCAATAACAGCCTGTAGAACCGACTGCTTTTAAAATTTGTACATCTAAAGTTTACAAATGACTTGTACATTTTGCACTGATAGTGCATGTACGTACCTTGGTATACTCGTGCTCTAAACTGGTGTCAGTACGTACATGTTCATGTACGTCAACACATGTTCAAAATGGCAAAAAGCTAAATTTTGTCAAAATATGGACGCTTGGCGCAGATATTATTTTGTATTTTATTAATTTAGTTTATTTTATACGCAGCATATAAATTAAAGAGATATAAACTCAATACAATTTCTATTATTTGTGTAACATTAATCTCTCTATTTGAACCTGAACTCGACTCTTAAATACGCATACATCATTCTTTAAGTATTTTTGATTGTGTTTTTGTCATGTGTATCAATGTGGAATGGAGATCCACGTACAAGCTGGTTATCTTGCTTTACCTTTGTTAACAATTTATTGCAGGTACGCGTATTTGTGTTTGTTTGTATAGTTACTGCACTGACCTGTGAAACTTTGATATGTTTCTTTGGTTTCTTACCTTTCTGTTACAAGAAGAAGTATTACACTTGTTTTTTGTTGCTACCGAGTGCAGTATGTATTGAATAGCTGTACGTTAATCTACACCGGTGTCGACTGAACTGTGACTAGGTCAGGTCCTTTTTATAGGGGTCTTCGTATGTAGCAAGAATCCAATAGAAAATGGCAGACACAATATTTTTTCGAATCGTGTTAAGCTTTAAGTAAGCAATTAATTCAGTTTGATAAGTTGAACGTC